CAGCCTCCAGGGAGCGTGCTGGGATGTGGGATTCTACTCTTTCCAGCCATTGGAGGGAGCTGCTGAGAATTATGGCCTTGTCCCTGTCTGGAACTCTCCCCTAGAATAATGTTTATTAAATTGTTTTTTTAAAAATAGGTCTTTTCCTCACTCTATCAGTTTGTCATTTGTTTAATGCAGTGTGGCAGTTACATAATCTCCTGTCAACTTGAGCGAAGGGGGGAAGTCTAACCTGTCAATCAGGTTAGAGGCCAATGAGACCTCTGTGTGGGCATGGCCTTCTCCTGAGGATTCTGGGAACTCCTGTCTTCCTCCCTGAAGGCAGGACCCACACACTCCCTGTGAGACATTCCTGTTGACAAGCCACATGCTGATGGAGCCAGAACCCTGGAGCTGGAAGAGCCACATGGAGACCCACACCAGTGCTGAGATGCTTCCATCACCGCTGGGTCCACAAGACTTTCCACCCACTGGCCTGTGCTCTTCCTGCATTCGGCATCATTGCATGTGTTGTGTGAGTCTGAAGAGGAATTTATAGACTGGTATGGGGCATATGGGCTAATATTAGACTTATGGACTTGATCTAGACTGAGCTGGGATGTTTTCTTAACATACAGTTACTCTTTAATGTAAAGTTCTTTCTTATACACATATGAGTGTCTCTGGATTTGTTTCTCTAGTCCACCCAGACCAATACATGCAGTGTCACATATTCCAAAGCTGCAGTTTGCCAAGGACGGTGGGGGGGTGGGGGGTGGCCCGGCAGCTTTCTCAGGGCAGGGTTCAAATACCAGTGTGCATCACAGCAGGAGCCAGGCATCCAGGGAGGGAAAAACCAGGTGCTTCCCTCGCTTCCCTAGCCCCCTATCTCACATGGATCCTTACACACACACACACACACACCGGGGCAGGGCTATGTGAAGATGGGTGCAGAGCTGCCATCCAGCTGGCTCAGCAGGCTCTAAGGCCCTTGTTCACAGGGGGAGACATGCTGACCTCACTGGCACCCCCCACGTCCCTCAGGGGGAACCTGGGCCTATTTGCTGACGATTCAACCAAGCTCTGGAGTGAATGTGGCCATCAAACGGCCCCTTTCTGGGGCCCAGCTGGTCTCTGAGACCCAGGAGAAGCCACTCACAGGGTTCTCCGAGAGCTGTCAGACGCCCACCTCATGGGGGAACGCTGGTCCTGTCCTGGGAGAGTGTATGAAGCCTGGGCTTCAGGGCAGGGCTGTTTCATGTCTCCTGCTCTGTGAGCCTTGCTGTGGCCCCTTCTTTGAAAGCCTGACTCACCCGTTCATGGGCAAGAAGGGCCCAGGCTTGGTGGGCTTCTCTGGGTCAACTCTCAAAGGCACTGCCACATTGGAGCTCACCCTCGGCCCAAGGGCCCCCTGTGCACATCTGTCACTCAGGTGCTTTCCCTGAGTCTTGCTCCTGCCCGTCAGGCCTCCCAGCCAGGGCAGCAGCATCTAGTGAGAGCAGACACCCACACCTTGGACAACCCAGGTGTCCATTCCTGTGGCCTAGGAGCCCATGCCTGGTCCATTTCTGGCCTGGGGACCCCTGTCCTTGAATTGTCGCTTCAATGCTGGGTCCATCCTGGCCTGTCTAGAAATGGTGGAACAGAGGTCATACTGGCAGAAGGCGATGGAAGGGACCACTGACCCAGCTTCTTCTCTTAGGCACTAGCCCTTTCCAGGGTCTGTCCTTCAAGGCCCGAAGGGCTGCGCCATCCTCCCCACCCCCACCCCTGCCCCAGTCTCCACCTGGAGCGCATGCAAGACGCGTGGTGGGGAAATGAACCCTTTGGAGTTAGAGACCTGGGTTCACATCCTAACGGTGTCACTAACTAGCTGTGTGACCTCGGGCAACTTTCTCCACCTGTCTGAGCATCAGTCTCTGTCAGTCAAATGGGGCTGACAGCACCTCCCTCACGAGGCTAAAGCATGGACTCAGCGCTGTAGAATCAACGGGGATCAAATGGGAATTTTGCTCCATCTGACACCCAGAGCAATCACTGGAGTGGGGTGGGGGAGAACACTCTCAGCTAAGAGATGATCAGGCCTCTCCGTTAAGCCAGTGACTTGCCACCCAGACCAGGGGCCCTAGGGCTTCTCAATTCTCTCTGTCCCCACCCTGGGGCAGAGAGTGGGACCCAGCAGACAGGAGACCCCGCTTCCCTTGGCTGAGCTTTTCACAAGGCCCTCGAGCCACAGTGTATGGTCCTGTGGCTCTGGCCAGATGTTCGCAGGACCCGAAGAGAGGAGCATGGGGTGGTGGTTGCTAAATACTTTATTCCACATCCTCCAACCTGGCCCAGGCGCCGGCTCTCAGGTATCGCACCTGGTCTCATGCTCTGAACTCAAAGTAGCAGTCTCTCCTCTGTCGCTCATGTGTGGAGACCCTCTTGCCCGATGGGAACGTCTGGTAGGTCTTCAGGTTCTTGGGGGACACCCTTAAAAGGTGCCACTTGTCCTTCAGGCTCAGAGGAGGCCTGGGGGTGGAGCGGGAGCCACAGTTATGCAGTGTGCTGGCAGGGAGGGTATGCAAACATCCAACCACAGCCCCTCCCCCAGCCCCCAGCCCACTTTCCAGTCCCTGTGAGCACAGGAGATCACGAGCAGCCCTCCAGCTCGGCGCACATGGGAGGAGGTGGGGGTGCTGCTGACTGTGGGGGTGGTGGTAGTGAAAGAGGTGGTGGTGATGGAGGTGGTGGAAGTGGTGGTGGTGGTGGTGGTGGTGGTGGTGGTGGTTGTGGTGATGGAGGTGGTGGAGGTGGTGGTGGTGGAGGTGGTGGAGGAGGTGTGGTGGTGGTGGTGATGGAGGTAGAGGTGGTGGAGGTGGCAGTGATAAGAAAGGACAGGAGTCACTGGAGACCTGGGGTGAGAGAGCTCAGAAAATCAGAAAGCTGAGTCCTGAACCCTGGCCCTGCTCGCCCTGGCCAAACTCACCAGGTTCCCAGCAGGCCTAGCAGCTCTGAAGCAGCAGTCCAGGCCCCTGCTGAATTGACTACCCTCGGTGCATGGCTAGGACTTACACTCACAGCACTTGTATGTGCATCTGGCAAGGTGGCCAAAGCATGGGGCACTGCCCTACCCACACAGGTGGTCTTGTGGGCTAACTTGGCAAGACATGCCCGGGGTGACATGGACTCTCTGGGTGCCCCTGGCTTCACTTTGGTTTTGAGGAGTGAATGAAATCGTGCAGAAGCACCGCAGCCGGGCCGGTAGTAAGCATTTAACCAATGTTATGAGAGACGAGGGCGGGGGTTAGGGTTGGAGCTCTGAGGGGAAGGGACTTGTGGAAGGCATGGAGTCCACCGGGAGGAGCTGAGAGCAGGGACGGAGCCCTTAGCTCCCAACCTCTGGGTTGGCTCTCAGAACCCCTCCCCAGGGACCCCCATCTCCTCCTCTGCACCCCATGAGCCACACAGGCTTAGGAGAAGCTGGCTTTGGAGCACTTTGCCCTCTGCCCCAGGAGTGAAGCTGCCTGAGACCAGAACAGTGGGCAGGCATGGAGACAGGCAGACCAT